CTTTTGCAAGTTTTGCATTCTAATGGCCAAGCCATTTCTATACAAGTGGAGGGAGAGTGTGTGTAAGCAGTGAACAACTTTCCAAACGTTTTTCAATTCCCACAAATCGGTAACCTCTGTTAAAGTTAATATTATCAAGAACAAGCAACAATAACATTATCATTCACCATCATCATAGGAGGAAGAACATTATTTTTGTGATGATTATTTTTTGTGATTTGATGAAAAAAGCGAGGGAAATCAGCAAGTAAGGAATAACAACAACAAATTATCATCATCATACGAGTTGAATAACAATATGAACATAATAGATTAGAATAAAAACTGTTACTATTATAACACATACCAAAAATATAGTGATCAGGGAAATTAACCTTCTTACATGCTTCAAAGAATTGGGAAATGTTATCAACAGCCATAAATTCCAAAACACTTCCTGACTTTGGAGTGTTAATCTTCTTAATTGCTGTTGGAGCAAAGATTTTACCCAACTTGGCCAAAGCAATACCATCTCTCAAGTTATCACCAAAGTTAGCAGTGCCTGGAGGCAGACTTTCTTGGATAAGTTCTTCAATCCAACGTTTGGCTTCTTCCTGACGAATAAGAAAGTCGTAGGCTTTCTTCTCCGCAATGGAGAGATCCATCTTGGTGACAGACATCTTACAAATCTATTATATATATTGTTGTAATGTGTTGTTGTTGAATGACGAGTGGTTAACTTGTCAATCTTTGTTTCTAATGTGGAAAATGTACAGCACAGGTTTTTGGGATGGGCAACAACCAACACCACAACAATTTTGTTTTTTTTTTGATGAGTTTTCTTGTTTGCTGTGAAACTTGATTGATGACAGGTTTTATGTCTCTTGAAGCATATCAATCAAGTGTTAGTTGACTAGCCACATATTGTAAGGTACTTGCCTGTGCCTACTATTTGGTAGACATCCGTCAGTGTTCATCAATAAATTGTCCAAGGATTTCGACCTATCAATTCTGGGAAGAGACACAAATTACTGTTACAAGTGGGGAGGAGGGGTAGAAATCTTACTTTTTATTTAGGGGTGTTGGCCAGAAAATTACGAAATAATTGGGGGGGTAAACAACATTATTTATTTAATTATTTCTTCTTTCGTGGTCTACCAGGCTTTCTCTTTACTGCTTCTTCAACTTGAGATTTCATTGGTTCTTTGAATTGTGATTTCTTTGGTCTACCACGTTTCTTTTTCTTTAATGGTTCCTCTTCTTGTTCCAATTCTTTCTCTTGTTCCAATTCCTTCTCTTGTTCTTGATCATAATCTGCTGATTGTTCCAATTCTTGTTCTTGATATTCTTCTTCATGTTCTTCTTCAACATCAATATACGATCTCTTCTTTGTTCTTCTCGGAAGAGTTTCTGTGACACATTGTGAAAATGCATGATTCAATGTTCGTCCAGGAATTGAAAAAATGTTTGGTTTGGTTTGTTTTTCATGTAACTCCAATGAATCATCTTCTATATTTGATAAAGTCTTTTCACAACATTTAGCATGAACTTCCAATTCTTTCTCACTATAATGAAATCTTTTACAATACTTGCAAATAAATTTGGTTCCATATTGTTGGTATGAAGGGAAATGTAAATTTAAGGCTATGGAATTATCTTTCAATCTATCTTCGAATAAACAATAATGAAGATTATCGTCGTTGGGATAGTCTTCATTGTTTTTTCTTTGGTTATTTTTGTCAGGGATGGGGTGAGGTATGAAGCCATTGTATTGTGCTAGCTGTTGGTAAAATGTTGTTGATGAATCTTCCTTTCTAATTACAAAAGTGTACAATCCATTACCATCTCTACTAAGGTAATGAATATCCTTAATTAATTTCTTGATCAAGCAATCCTCTTCTGTTTCCTTTCCCTCCAAAAAGGAAAAAATATTTTCCCAAGTTGGCCAAGAAGGCAGAGTGTTTGGAATTGAATTTTGGTTGGTGGGGACGTATGTGCAGTGGTATGATGGTATTTCATTAATAAGTAAACACAATTGCTTCAACACAACATTGTGATTCTTTTGTCTTTTTTGGGGCTCTTTGGACGATCCATATATCTCCTTATCTATATCGAATAAACCAGCAAGCTTCTTTGAGATTGGGAAATGGTCTTTCTCAACTGGATTCAAAGCAGATGCATGTGGACTATAGGAGCACTGAATTAATGAATCAAGATTGTATTTTTTGAAAATGTAATATGCTTCAGATTGAACTTTCCTGTTTCTTGGTTGCACTTTAGGCCCATTATCTGTGATCATAATAACGTTTCCGTGTAATAAATTACGGAGTTTTAGTTCTTCAAAAAACCATTCAAGGTCATCTAGATGCGAAAATCTATCATCATTACAACTACTGCGCAACCTTACAAGCACGCATTGTCTTTTCCAAGTAATGTTATTCCCTTCCTTAGAAACTCTTAATACTGACATTACATTCGGTGTAACACTATTTTCCTTAGTGTTGCCGAAGTTGTGGTCTGGAAGGGCTGGTAGTTTTGATCTTGTTAATGATGAGTCAACAGCAACAGCAGTAGATTTACTCACAGCAGGACCCTTAGTATAAATCTTTGCCTTTTGGTCAACGGATACCACTGTAACATCATCATCTAATTTGAAAGCAAGTTCACGAATATATTTCATCAACGCACACGCAATATGTTTGTCCTTGTGTTCAATCATTCTGTTGCTTCTGATTTTCATTACGCGAATAAAAGCATCCTTAGACTTCAACTTGAATGCTTTTGTTTTTCTTTTCCCCACAAAAAAACGTTTTAAAGTAGAAGGTGAGTACGTTATCCCAGTTTTGTTCTTAATAAGAGCAATTCCTTCTTTGATAACCTCAACACCATTGGCCAAGGTGTAGATATGGCCATCTCTTCGGCGAGGATGTGCTTCGCTGTAATCTGCTGGCAGGGTAGTTTTTAACAATTCTGCGATATTGCCAACCTTACTAGGCCTGCCTATTGTTTTGTGCTTGATAGCCACTGTTCTTCTTCTATATAATTTCATGTATAAAGCTCTGTCCTTATATTGATGAAGTTTTTGTTGTTTTTCAATCTTACTTCTACATAGTTTGCTGAGTTTGATTTCTGCCTCCTCTTTAATAGATTCCATTCCCACAACATCGACACAAGATTGATAGACTGTGTGGGCAACACTAATTTGTTTCGAAAGTTGTTCAATTTCACTAGCCAAACTCTCCTGCTTGGGACAATGGTGGGAAGGAGTTGTAGCATATTTGGCAATTTCACTGTCAAAAACACCTCTCCCTTCAAGTGAAAATTCAATTATTTGGAAATTATCAATAATAAACATTTGTTTATTATTGTCTTCCAAATTTTTGATCACGAAATGTAATATTTCATCATTTTTGCTCTTCAATTCCTTCCTATAAAAGCCAATTGCTTTCTCAAACAGAGCTTCCCTTCTGATATCTTTTTTGGTATTTGTGAGATGGAAATAGCAATAGGCATTCATGTATCGAAGGTAAGGTGTTTTATTGCTGTTATTGTGGAAACACTTCGAAGCTACTGCTTTTGTTTTGGTGTCGAGGGTTAGTTGCATTGAGGTTTTTTTTTTAATTATTTTTTTAATTTTTTTATTGAGCTTACAAAAAAGAAAAATCAAGCGAGCTGAAAGCGAAGCTTGATTTTTCTTAAAATTTTTAATAAAGTTACATTACATACGAGTGGGGTGGATAACATATTATTTTACATACGAGTGGGGTCAAAATGAAGTTGCGTAATTAATGTCTCTTCCCTCTTCACTGTTCAATTATAAGATATTTAAGCATGTCATGTTAACATTCTAAAATAGATTATTACGAAATTGAGTAAAATTCATCATCTTTGAAATTTTATTAACAAGATTCTTTGAGAAAATTTACAAATTAAAAAGAAAATCATCAGGAAAAAGGAATCAAAATTAGGGTTG